TGTATCTTTGCAAGTTAACTTCTGGAAACAATACCGACATTTTAAGGACTATAGAAGAAGTTTTGTCTTAGATTACATTAGCAGGTTACTCTGCCTTACCTTTTTATACTTATTTTTAGATGAAGAAATAACTCTTTAAACTATAATAAGTAACAATAATAATTATGTTGATCGCCTGCCAAACTAAATATTTCGCACCTAGAATTCCCATTCGCTTAAACGTTTTTTGATTTCGTTATCTCCTGATTGGTTGATTTTCTCACGTGATCAAACGTGAAGACCCATTGTTATCTTTAAATTTACACGAAAACGTGTAATAACTGAACACACATAATTTTACCACGACTTGTTCTCATTGTTTACGGTAATTGTTTTTCACTATATTTGGGGTTTATTCTTGTTCTTTCAAGTATTAAACCGGGAGTGATCTCCCCTAAACTTTCTCGAATATTCTTATATAAAATAACAGGGGATGGGAACTCGGGCTATAGACATGATTTTTAATCCATTTTAAATACTTAAAGTTTTAAAAATAGAATAAAATCTCGTAGACAAATTAATTGCACACCAAGTGAACGCGAAATAAAAAAGCGCATAATAGTGCGCAATATTATTATTACTTTTAAAATTTACATTAGTTTTTTGAGAAATCGGAAGTAGCGTAAAGTACTACTTCCAGTCAACGGAAATGACTCAAAATTTAATAGAAGGTAGAGAATTAGATCTTTACTTACGTATGAAATTTCATTTATCTATCTGAAATAGTACTCAAGTTATAGGCTTTTGAAAAATTCAAAGTAGGAAAAGTACCACTTCCGGTTATCGGAAATCGCTCAAAAGTTGATACGGATCTACGATTTTGATTAAATACTTATATATGAAATTTCATCAACCTAGCTGTAACGGTACTCAAGTTATCGTGTTTATACACGGACACACACACACACACACACAGACATACGGACAAGATTGCAAAATTATGTTTTTCCGTATCAGTGAGATGCAAAACGTCGAGATTTGCAAAAATCTCGATTTTTTTTTTGCACGATTACAAGACTTTCTCTATACTTCGTATATACGAGAAAGTAAAAATTGCTCCATTTTAATTTTTTTTTAATATAACTCTTTTTATTGAACGAACGAAAATGCACTTGATTAAAGGCGTGACTACATTCATTGTCTGTGAACGTTTCTCCTAGCTCTCGTGTGTTAATTTTTTACCTTATCCCTGATACTCCCTGACTCGTTGCAGGTGTTTTAACCCCAGCTCATAGGTGTGTGTACCTGAAAGTGTACGCGAGTGTCTGCTTATGTCCCTCTGTCCGACTGTTTTCATGACTCCAGTTCGGTGCTAATAAAGTTCATACATAGTTTAGTTTTACTGAAACAATAAATCTTGTTCCCGGCGCCAAATATGGACAACCCACCTCAGTTTGCTGAGCTCTTTATTCTGTGAAGGGGGGTTTTTAGCGCAATTACCAGTTATCGATAACAAAACAATGCTGTTTTTAAAAAGTGCGACTGCTGTTTTTTACCTAAATGTTAACGATTATTCTCCAAAGTTTCTTATAGTACCCTATTAAATTTCACAGAAGGACAAATTAGCTTATCCAGTCTTTAGATATGTTCTAGCAGTAGGTAGCCCACTTAAGATAAACAAACCCCGTCATCGATCCACTGGGATATATCCTGTACCATTATAATCTACTGATGTAGCCCCGTGGCGTAGCGAGGTCGGGTGTCACCCGGTGCGGCACTTAATGGTGTCACCCCCCCCCCAGAAGCGTAGCGACCCTTCCCGGGGACAAACTTTCAAACTTTCTATTTGCACCCCCCCCCCTCAAGTTTTTCTCTATATATTTTGCTATTTTTTGCCTTGGTGTCACCCCCTTAAATGGTGTCACCCGGTGCGGTCCGCACCCCACCCCTAGCTACGCCTCTGATGTAGCCTCTTCTGTATGATTCACTTGTGTAGCGCGTAAATATATCTATTTTATATGGTTTGTCTCAACTGGGTTACACAATTTCCTAGATACGTTTTCTAGAAACGTAACATACTTTGGGGTGGAGGTCTGTGGAAGTGTCACCTATCGTTATATGGGATAGGGTGATAAAAATGTTCAATTGTTTAAAGTTATATAACATGCCGCCATTCTCTAATTGGTGGCCGTTGCTTCCACACCCCCCCCCCCTCCCCCTAAACCAGTGGTTCCCAACCTTTTTCGAGTGGCGACCCCCTTTTATAAAAAGTAAGTGACCCGCGACCCCCATAGAATTAAAAAGCCGAAATTAGTATGGAAATTAACAAGCACTAAATTAAGATTTTCAAGTAGACTTTCAATGTGAACTACCCTTGATAACTGTTTTAATACCATGTGTAAAATTGCGTGTTATTTACTAAACATTCGCGGTTAAGTTTTTGTTAACGCCTACCTAATTTCATTATCAACACTCAATTTATTCCTTAATTTTGTTTTTAATCAAAGAATAGTGTTGAAAATCTATTCTCGAAAAGTCAATCAATATTACGTTTGGGTATGAATGGTGAATACTACACCAAAATTGTGTGTGCAGTTTTTCATCTTGCGCTGAATCATTCTGCAAATCAAAGAATTCATCTTGTAATTCATCTGGAATGCTGGCAACATCAAGGGAAGAAGAGAATGGGTAATGCGTCAATGCAGATTCTTCTTTTTTCAGCGCAGAAAAATAGCGCTGCAGTTCGTTTTAAAGAGATTCAAAATGCCCAGAAATCGCTTCTTTCAAAATGTTAATTATCTCACAAACAGATTCATCTACTACATTGCAGAGTTCTCAAACATGGCAATATTTCCAAGATTTATTTTTCCAGCTTTGATAAAAATGCCCCGAATTTATCATGGAAAGTGATAATATGCGTTCATTTTCCCTGAAGCTTCAGGTCAAGCTTATGTTGATGTTCGAATACATCTGCTAGGTATGTCGTATTAAGTGTACCAAAAGGGTCTTGTTCAGTGTTTCTTCCAGACTTTTTTCTCCGGGGGGGCACTTGAAATCTTCGGGGGGGGGGGGGGGGGGGGGCGGTAAACTTTCTTCGGGGGGGGGGGGGGGCGGACACTGTTAAAAGTATATATTTTCTATATAAATTATATAAATTTCATTTCGTTCGGGGGGGCGGTAAAAAAATTTCGGGGGGGGCTTCGCCCCCCCCCCCCCCCGAAGAGATGCCTCGAAGAAACTCGGGTCTTGTTTCATTTGTACTTCGAAGGACAACTTGATTTCAGCTTTCAATTTCACAACACGATTTACATTTCCTTTTGACAGCCATCATGATGTAGTGTAGAAAAGCAGAACCTCGTGATCTTTATTAATGTATTTGCACAGTTCTTTGAAAGCTCCAGATTTAATATAAGTTACGACTTTTACTAGCAATGGAGTCTTGATGGCGAGGGCAGTGGTTAGGGAGCTAAATCTTTTCTGTTTTCTGGAAGCCCGATTTTGACCAAAACATAGATGGCACACCATCCGTTCAAACCCCCACAGCCGTTTTAACCCATTTTAATCATCCAGTTTCGAAAAACGTATTTATTTTTTCCATGCTATCATTAAAAAATAAAAGCTCTTCTTTGCTATCATCCGCATGAATATAGACAAAGACCAACAACTGCGATCACGAACTCAAGTCTGTTGATTTATCAACTTGAAAAGCAAACAATGGTGAAAGCTTGATTTCAATAAAAATGTGTTATTTAACATCTACGGACATGTCTGCTATAAGCCGCTGAATATTATTATTAGGGAGATATTTGTTGCATCTTTACTGCACTGGAATCCCCAAGAATTAACTTCACCATCTTCAACATGCAGCGTTTGATGAGATTTTCTCCTATTGTGTTTTGTTTTTTGTTTTTTTTTTGCTTGACATTTTCTATCGCGACTTCATAAGATGCTTGCACTAATGCTGTGTTTCCTTCGTGAAAACTTCCAGTTCGATCAAGTCTCTGACGTTTGCAACTAGCTTCACGTCGACGAAAGAACTCCGTATCTTTTATGGTGTGTTCGGAATGACTCGTCTCAAATGACGTTTTAGATTTGAAAAGTTCATTACCTCGTGACTGAGAACAACTTTGTACAGTATTGAGTAATCATTGCTTCTCTATTCCATTTCCAGTGATGTTAGTAAAGCTGAATTTCAGATATTCTTCTAAATATTTATGTTTTGTTTCTCATTACTAAGGTTTAGTATACCAGTTGGCGACCCCCCAGAAAGCCCTTCGCGACCCCCCGGGGGGTCGCGACCCCCAGGTTGGGAACCCGTGCCCTAAACGATCCATCGAGCGGTGATGACTACACGAGAGCAGTGTGCCCTGTATTGATAACGAGGCCGGGACTGGCTCACACACACACGTCATCGAGTAATTTGATAATTGCGACGTTTTCAGCCCGACAATGTGCATGAGTCGTACTTAGCTCCGCCTACTCGCATCACGTGGTAGCACGTGACTCGCCGGCTGCTGATTAACACCTTTTTCTAACCGCTCAAACTCTCGTCTGCCCGAACGTTTTGGCAGACGGCCAGGTACACGTTGCAGCGTTTAAAAAATGTGTACTTTAAACAGGTGGTTTCATCTATTATAAACATTAAAACTTGCCTACAGATAGGCAATAGTTTACGTATTTCAACAAATTATTTACACCTGCGTTTATTACGAAGTAACTCACACCCACATCAACATTTGTTATTAATTGGTGTGTTATTAATTAGCAATTACTCGCAGAAAATCTTCATTGTTTAGTTTATAATATGAAATTCGAGTACATTTTTAAATGTTTAATGTTTAGTTTATAATATGAAATTCGAGTACATTTTTAAATGTTTAATGTTTAGTTTATAATATGAAATTCGAGTACATTTTTAAATGTTTAATGTTTAGTTTATAATATGAAATTCGAGTACATTTTTAAATAGGACACTATGTTTTTTACGACAAAGTACGATTTTATGTTTCTTTTTCTTTCAGAAACTAGGCCTCATATTTCTCAAGCACGCGAGTTTTGGTTCACGTGAGTGGAAGTGACCGCGGCGCGTGCGTCCACGTGAAGGGAGCCTCATTATTGACGAGTAGATGGGCGAGTCGACGTAACCGTGTCACGTGTCCGGCAAATCTGGGATTTGACGACATGGACGTGCCGACGTCAGGTTAGCTCAAGATGGACGGCGCTTAGTGCTTTGTACCGCCTGGTGCAGACGTTAGCGCACGTGCGGGATTAGATAAACATAATGTGAGCAGACGCAGTGTTGGCTGGCGACACATCTGTCTTTCATGCGGACATAGCTCACCGCGATATGTACGGGTCAAAGCGCGTGGCTGTGCGGGATTTGAACCCACACATCTTGTGTGCGCTGTGCGGAGGCTACCTGATACAGGCCACTACAGTTATAGAATGTCTGCATTCGTGTAAGTATGGTGGTCGTTAATTTAGTGCTCTAAACGTTAATGTAGTGGTCAAGCCATTAATTTAGTGCTCTAAACGTCAATTTAGTGGTCAAGCCATTAATTAAGTTGTATATCCATAATTTAGTGGTATAACTGTCAATTTAGTGCTCCATACTTTAATTTAGGGGCTAGCCATTAATTTAGTGGTCTATCCGTTAATTTTGTAGTCACCATAATTTAGTAGCCGATCCATTAATTTAATGGTAGAACAATTAATTTAGTCAAATATTCATTAATTTTGAGATATAATAATTAATTTAGTGGTTTTAACCGTTAACAACCATTATTTTAGGAGTCTATACAACGTACGATAACCTGATCACACGTAGTATTACATTAATATATAAGTAATGTGAAACTAGAAGCTGTGTGTATAAATATTCAGTGAAATTTCAATGCCCTATCTGGGGATGGGCAAGGTGTCAATGTCCAGGGTATAATGATCCGTCCACCTATACTGCTCAACTATTTCTGTACAGATCTAATGTTAAGGTGTTGAAATATTCACTGTATGTTTAAAGTTTCACTCATGTCACTGGCATTAAATTTGATCATGTTGTGAAGGTCATCATTTTGACCATTTGTTTAACATTTTTCTAACACACTCTCTTTAAAATTACTTTCATTGGAGAACTACCTTTTGCTAGATAACAAAATTGTTTATTTTCTAGTAAACTAAAATATTTAGATACGTTTATACATATTTTATGAATCGTTATCCCGAACCCTGAAACGCTGTTCCTATTTCAAACTAAATGGATTCCATTTCATTAATTAAACATCATAAAAATTTGCCATATGTGTTTTATCAGGTGTTAATATTTTCTATGTGCTCCGAACTTATCATTAGTTCGGATATGTCTACAGATCTTGTATTGTCTAATATGTTTAGTCTGCAAATCTTATATTGTCTAATATGTTTAGTCTGCAAATCTTGTATTGCCTATTGTGCTTAGTCTACAGATCCTATATTGCCTATTGTGTTGTTTATAGGTCCTGTATCGCCTATAGTGTAGCCAGCAGATCCTATATTGCCTATTGTGTAGCCTACAGATCCTGTATTGCCTACTGTGTTTAGCCTACATATCCTATATTGCCTATTGTGATTAGTCTGCAGGTCCTGTATCGTCAACTTTCTCGAGACGAGCAAGGTGTGCCCAATATGTGACGCTCAAATACACAAGACACGGCCACTACTCAACATCAGGTAGTTGATGGATAGCTTTGTTAGGGTTAGGGTGTTGCGTGATTTGTATGATGCCATTATTGTTCATGAAAACCTGAAAACTACTTGCCCTTTCATTAAATTGATATTAAGTTTATTTACGAATTTACGCCGGATTCCTAAAATACGTTTACATACAGATGAGTATGTTACACAATGGATGTAGTACGGAGCTTCTATATATTTGTTATGTTAGGCTTTCGTACGGTACACACGTTATCGATAATTGGTAACTGTCGTGTTTTGTTTCAACTTTTCTGTTTCCACATTAAATATAGATCGTACACGATAAATTACACAAGACAATCCTACAGGGATCGTACAATACAATACTAATGGTGGGATAGACGTGTCTATGGGAAAATAACGTTATATGGGGTGGGGGTGAATATAAAATGTCCCATTTTTTTGTTAAATGTACATCCATTCGACATTCAACTATATGTTATTAGCATTAGCTATACCTGTGGGTGTAGGTCTGATGGTTGTTTGTTAACATGTAGGTGGAAAGGGGGTGGTGGTGGGACTGGTTTAGACAGAATACCAAAGGGAACTGACAATCACATGTCATGTTTGTCTAATAAGGTGGTTGACGTGTGGATTGGTCCACAAATAATGCAGCCAACCATAAAAGTTGTTGAATTTTGTTTCTTCCTTCAGACCAGACCAAACCTTACAGAATCTTGTGTACAAGTTGGTACCTGGCTTGTTTCAAGGTGAGATCCATGTTACACTGGTTACAGTAAACTCCTATGGCATCAATCAGACCTCTAGAACATCAATCACAACGTTATAACATAAAACAAACCCCTAAAACATCAAACAAAACCCTATAACATCAAACAAAACCCTATAACATCAAACAAAACCCTATAACAAACCAAGCACCTATAACATCAAACAAACCCCTATAACATAAAAAAACAACCTATAACATCAAACCCCTATAACATAAAAAAACAACCTATAACATCAAACCCCTATAACATAAAAAAATCAACCTATAACATAAAAAACAACCTATAACATAAAAAAACAACCTATAACATTAAAAACAACAACCTATAACATCAAACAAACCTTGATGTCTCCACTATGGCCAGTTTTTCACACTTGGTTGTCTTTAGATATGACCATATAGCACGATATAGGTAATTCTGTAAGGACTGTCCTATGTGAGAGAAATTTCCTACTGACCATTGTATGCCATGTGACTTTTAACTTTCCTTAATTAAGGTGTAAATAATATTTTACCCCATTTTTATTGCAGATGAGATGCGCAGGAGGCGGGAGTTCCATGCCACGTTGTCAGAAAGTAGGTCACGAGTTGTTTTTTTTTCCCGTATACCCTGTGGCTAACATCTTCTTTCCACCCCCCCCCCCCCCCCACTTCCACCCCCTCGCCACAGGAAGTCTAGCTGGAAAATGTTAAATTCAGTTGACAATTCAATATCCGCAGTGACATAACGCTGATACGAAGGTGATATGTGCCCACTTCAACAACTGGGGCCCTCAGCAATGGCTCACAACAACAAAAAACGGGATTCTTTTTCCTTTCTTGCATATGGAATATTGGGGGGGGGGGGGGGGGGGGGGGCTACTGTAATCGTGAAAAAAAAAAACGAAGTCGAAATTTTGCCAAAAAAAATTAGTACGCTTTACACCTTCCAAATTCATAGGTTGGAAAAAAAGTTTGCAATCTTGTCTGTTTGAACACGGTAACCTGAGTACCGTTTTAGTTAGGTGGACGAAGTTTCATATTAGATCCTCTACGTTGGTTTCTGTCGACTATTGAGCGATCTTGAGCCGTTTTTCTCCTCTGTGTATGTTCTCGAAAAACTTTGTCACAAATCTACCATTTCTTTAGCCTGATTATAGCGGCTTTGTCACAAATCTACCAAGACTGATTATACTGAGTGTGTCATCCCAACTAAGTCAATTTTAATAAGTACAAGAAATCAAAAACCAGGGGATCTGAACGATTTCTAGACTATCCTTACAATGTGATACTTAACACCATCCTTTACTGTTACATACAAATATAGCCTACAAGAAAGTGCAGGGGAGCTCACTCCCGCTTTTCATCTCAACTACCCTAGGAAAGTGTAACACCGTGACCTATTTATAGATCCCACATGCAAATGCCGTTCCCCCGAGGACCCATCCCTCTCCCCCACACCTCACCCCCACACCTCACCCACTCACTCACTCACTTCCTAGTTAGAGTTCCTCGCTCCAGTATTGGGTCAAGGTTACACGAGACAATTCCAGGGCACGAATTGTTTTCGTCTGCCCAGCATCCAAACATTGACCGAGAGGGAACTGAAAATAACACCTGACTTTTGCACATGAGCGAATTTATGATGCTCATACACATGGATGGTATGATGTTCATACACATGGGTGGTATGATTTTCATACATATGGATGGTATGATGTTCATACACATGGGTGGTATGATTTTCATACATATGGATGGTATGATGTTCATACACATGGATGGTATGATGTTTATACGTAAGGATGGTATGATGTTCATACACATGGATGGTATGATGTTCATACACATGGATGGTATGATTTTCATACACATGGATGGTATGATGTTCATACATAAGGATGGTATGATGTTTATACGTAAGGATGGTATGATGTTCATACTTAAGGATGGTATGATGTTCATACACATGGATGATATGATGTTCATACACATGGATGGCATGATTTTCATACACATGGATGGTATGATGTTCATTCATATGGATGGTATGATGTTCATTGAGAGCTGTGAATGATGTTTTTAAACTTGGATAGTATGATGTTCATACACATGGATGGTATGATGTTCATACATATGGATGGTATGATGTTCATTGAGAGGCTGTGTATGATGTCCCTACAACATGGATGGTATGATGAAATAGATTCTGTCTTTATTTTAACGTTGCCAACAATCGATAAAATAGTGAAATGATTTATAAGATGGTTGCCCATAGTCCGAGTGTCCAAGGACTGGTTTCTGTTATTGATGTTGAAGTCCGTGTGTCCACGAGTTAATCATTACTGCCAGACAGTAAACAGTAGCCACTGGAAGATATTCGTCACCATTTTGTTTCGCTGTCTCACTGGCGAGCTGCCGACAAATAATAATTAAACTGAGAGTTAAGACAGATGTATGAGTACCTTTTGGGGTAGTGTTTGGTTGACCAACATGATGTTAGGTTGACCAGAATGCTGTATGACTGACTAATGGGTCATTGTTTTGTTTGACTGTCATGATGTATGACTGACTGTCAGTGTTTTGTTTACCCACAGGTATAACTAATGGGTCATTGTTTTGTTTGATTGGCATGATGGGTCTTTGTTAGACCAACATATTTTATCTGTGTTTAGCTTGACCAACATAATGTATGACTGACTATTGTACCAATGTTTTGTTTGACCAACATGATGTATGACTGACTATTGTACCAATGTTTTGTTTGACCAACATGATGTATGACTGACTATTGTCCCAATGTTTTGTTTGACCAGTAAGCCTGCGTATGACTGACGCACGACGTTATATACCAAGCCTACCATTAACAAGATCCAATAATTTCTGGTGTAAGGTTTAAGATCAATGGAGTTCGTTTCCCGTCAGCTTTTTTCACTTTGATTGGTCAAACTTGGCGTATAATGACCGTTGTCTTCTTTCCTAACACTTATTTGCTGCAGTCTTAGTGCTATAGCAAAAATAGTTGAAAAAAAACGAACAAATGAGAACTTGAGGTAAATGATTTTGTTGTGTTCACTGATGAACAGGTAAGCTTGTATCTACTTGACGATGACCATTGGTGTTTCAGGTGATGTGGAGGAGTTGAGTCTAGAGGAGAGAGGGGAGGCAAGTCTGGAGAGAGAATTTAAACCTGGGGATGATCACATCAGTCTTATTCTACAGATGGTCTATAGGTATTGCTACATCTTTGTTATCTTCTGTCATCGATACCTTCATCGTCTTTTATCGCTACCTCTGTAATTTTATTCACATCTTCATCTTCTTCTATCGCTGCCTTCATCATTTTATTTTCATCTTCATTTTCTATTATCGCTACTTTCATCGTTTTCTTCACATCTTCATCTTTTTTATCGTTACCTTCATCGTTTTATTCACATCATTGCTATTATCTTTCATCGGTTTACTCCAGTTCCACCCGTCCTGTTATGCACCCACGTGTCTCTCCATGCAACCAATTGTTTATTCCGCTCTCACCTGCGTATTCGTTCCACCTGTGATCCCTCCATTCATCTACCTGTGTATTTCCACCTTGCTTCCCTCTATTCACCTGCATTCCAGCACTCTTTTTATCTTTGATTCACCCCCCTCTCCCTCCCCCCCCCTCCCCATAGTACCTTCACTTGCACTCCCGATTAAACTTTTGTGAATTTGTTTCAGGAAAAATGAAAGAAAAAAATTTAAGGTAAGAAAAAGTTCAACTATTTATTATTACATTGTGGGTTAATGTGGATTCAGAAGTCGAGTTGTAGAGCTCAAGACTGAAACACGATATTCTCGAGTTCGACTCCCCGGCTCGATGTCGTAAATTGATCGGTTGTACCCTGATTTGAGTTAAGTGAAGTAATGGCTTCTGGGCATAACGATGACCACAACTGGACATAGTTATGACCACTTAAAATAATGGCTACTGGCCAAATGATGACCACAACTTGGCTAGAGTGACGATAGAATCCCCCCCCCCCCCCCTGCTGAACGTGACTTAGTGTTAAGTAGAGCTACATTAGTTACCACAGCCAAAACCAAACCACCCCCTTGTATGGGTTGTGATCTGAACAATTTTAACCCCCTCTGGACTATAGCTGTAGACGCTGGTTTGTTACTCCATAGTTTACTGGTGATGTTTCCTTTGTGCAGGTGAAAGACAACCGTTATTTGCTGTGTCCGTCTGAGGTGACCATCAAACACTTAAAGAAATTCCTGCGCTACAAATTCGACCTGACCGAGAGTTTTAAGGTAAGCGTTGCTATGGTTACAGCCATCAGCACGTGACTATCGACAGCCAATCTTTTCGTATATTTTTTTAAAAATTTTACCTGTCGCTAGTTTGATTAAAAAATCTTCCAGTGTGTAACATTGACCACTTCACCTGCTGCACACAAACTTGAAGTAACATTTTCCAATTTCCCTACTACCACAGTTTGAAATTGTTGACTAAAACGTCTGCACCCCCTCCCCAATCATCCCACCCCACACTTTCAACTTTAAACCTTTCCACTTGTACGGCACGTCAAAGTGTCGCCATTGTGTTCAGTCCTCCTGTTGATATTGATATCTATCGGTGTGTATGTGTTAGTCTCATGTTGTTATGCTTGTATAATAATCACACTCCTATATATATTCCTATGTAAAAATTGGCGAGTCGACTATCCATCCATTGGTTAGTCTACCGTTCACTGTACCGACATTTATACTGTACACTGGACTGTCCCATGTAGCATCTATATATTGAACTGTGTACTGTGTTCATTGTACGTCCATTGTATTGTATCTTGGTCGATCTACCCATTGAACTACTCACTGTATTCTCCACTGTACCGTACATTGTACCTCCCACCGTTTTATTTACCCCCTTCTCTTCCGTCCCCTGCCCACTCCTGTACTCACGTCACCGTATCGTCTGCAGATCCAGATGTTTCGAGCAGGCGAGGAGTTGACCGATGACCTCATGCTGCAGGACATTGCCTTAATCTACTCATGGCGAGGGGTAAGATACTAATTAGCTTTAATTAGGCAATCTATGACACTGTGTTCTCGGAATTCCATTTTGGGAAATGTGTTGGTTTTCTTAAGTAGTTCGTTGTTGTAAATGTAGCTGAGGTGAAATGATGACTGTTGCGTGTTCAATTGTGGCTCCTTATAATATGTAGTGCCTTTTATTGTGTGGTTGTTCCTGTATAGACATACGGGCATTGTTGATGTGGATGGTGTATCTTTTGATTAGGAGCATTAATTTTGGTAATTTATTTTGTCGTAGTGTCAGCTTGAAGAAATTAACTTATTACATCTTAGCCTCTCATGAATAAAATTATGATATCTTGACCACAGGATAAGCCCATGAGGATCTGCTACACTGTCAGAGATAAATCCAAAGCTGTCAACAAGAAACCAATCACTGAGCAGGTTACAGATGCTGTGAAAATACAACCAATCAGTGAGCAGGTTACAGACGCTAAGAAAATACAACCAATCAGTGAACAGGTTGCTAAAGCTGTAAAAATACAACCAATCACTGAACAAGTTACAGAAGCTGTGAAAATACAACCAATCAGTGAACATGTTGCTAAAACTGTAAAAACACAACCAATCAGCGAACAGGTTACCAAGGTTGATAAGCCAATTACCAAACACCAGCGGGATTCAAAAGCAGAAAAGCACGTGGTCAAATATGAACCAATCCTTGAAGTTTTCAAACACGTCAAACACGAACCAGGAAGTGAAGGAACTTGTATGGAAACAACAAGACCTGCTCTAAGTGGTGACAACTTGACAGCTGCATCCACACCGGCACATGTTGGTAGGCCAAAAACTACTTCACTAGACAACTCAAAACCTAATACTGACAATAGAATACTGTCAGTCACTAAAACTGACACGTCATTGTCAACTACAGCTGCTCCGAACGGAAGGAAGAGGGCGTCAACGTCTGTGATAAACAAGCCTACTGTTACTGCCACACCTACTTCTGTTGCATTTACCCACATCAAATCCACAGCCTCGTCCGTCACTTTATCTGCCACGCCCATCCATTCATCGGCCACGCCCTTTGTTTCATCAGCCACGCCTCCTGACACTTATATAACCATCAATATTTCAGCCAAGCCTCGCTCTAGCACGAGCCCGGGTCGTACTGGCGTGCCCCCTAAAGTCGCGTGCTCCTCCAGCACCCCAGCAGCCGTAGTCAGTAAACTAAACCACTCTGCCGCACCCGTTCGATCATCTGCCACGCCCATTCGATCAACTGCCACGCCCACTCGATCAACTGACACGCCCACTCGATCCACCGACACACTTACAAAAACAACTACCACACCCACGTTGACAACCACCCCACCAGCAACAACAACTGCCGCAAGTACAGGTAGTACACCTACAAGAACAACTACCACACCCACAGTGACTAATTCCACACCCTCATTTTTACCTGTCACTCCCGCAAGATCAGTCACCACAAGCACACGTACAACAGCTACAACCACAACAACCACTACATTCACCAAGGCAACAATTACACCCGCTTATTCAACCACCGCCCCCACACGTCCATCCACCACACCAGCAAGCTCGTTTAACACACCCACAAAAGCACCAACCACGCCCACAAAAGCACCAACCACGCCCATGAAAGCACCAACCACGCCCATACTACCATTTTCCTCAAGCTCCTTGTCACCTACCAAAGAAAAACACGTGTCTCATCAGAAAAGAAAACACGACATCAAATCACCCAGTCCTTCTTCGGTGCTAAAGACTGTTTTTGTTCCAACAACTGTGCCACAGAAAACACCACCCACAACACCACAGAAAACACCACCCACAACACCACAGAAAACACCCACAACACCACAGAAAACACCACCCACAACACCACAGAAAATACCACCTACATCAGCACAGAAAATACCACCTACAACGCCACAGAAAACACCACCTACAACGCCACAGAAAACACCACCTACAACGCCACAGAAAACACCACCTACATCGGCACAGAAAATACCACCAAGTGTGCAAAGAATCCCACCAACTGAACAAAAGACTCAACAAGCGCCACAGCCAGTAACTTCTGCTTGTTACCCAGCCGTCACCACAGTAAACTCACCCAATGTTGTTAGCTCGCCGGTCACCACCCCCGCCCCTGTGTCAGTCAAGGGTGACCAGTCTCACGGCCCCGGTCACCTGCTACACAGTGTCCAGTCGATACTCAGCAGAACCGGCAAAAAGAACTCGCATCCTACTCCCTCTCGCCTTGAAGCTGCTACCGACTCGGCCAGCAAAATTCCACCAGCTCCAAACGGGAAGCGGAAGGATACATTTAGCTCACCTGCGGCAGATCACGTCTCGTGTAAGGAGATATCGCGTGATACAGAAGATCGCGCGTCGAGTAGGGATATCTCGCGTGATGCAGCAGTCATCCAGAGATCACAGAGCGTGATAGAAAGCCCGTACATCTCACCGAGGTCTGAGGATCGAGACCAGGCTACACAGGACGACACGGACACTTTCGCCTCATACATTCCAAAGTTCCAGAAGCATCGGAAGCTGCTGGCCGTCAAGCGGTCAATGTCCTACGAAGGACAGACCAGTGGTCAAGCTGCCGTGTCCAGCGTTAACGACGACGCTATGGAGAAACGGAACTGGAAAAAAAGAAAACTTTCAACTTTCGATTTCTCAACGCCGTGTTCAACAGCTATTGCCCCGGGGTCGGGCGGTGACCCAGGGTTGTCTTTTACATCCAGTCAGAAAGTGCCCGAAAGTTCGAATAAAACCAACTCACCTCTCAAGTGGGTCACTGACCCAGGTAAAACATTGACCACAGCTTCGGTCAGCTGTCTGCCTTTTGTACCCCCACAAAACGGAGGGCCCAAAGTCCCGGCGCCCCAGCCCCTTAAAACTTCAGCGCCCCAGCCCCTTAAAACTTCAGCGCCCCAGCCTCTTAAAACTTCAGCGCCCCTCAAGCACGTGTCGGGTCGGCCTGTCAGCCCGTCGCCTAACGGTTTGTTTCCAGTCTCCAGAATTCCCGCTTCCCAGGCCGACGTTGCCATGGCAACCCAATCGATACTTAACAACAACAGTATTCTGTCTGTAGGGAGAAAGGGCAGCCTCACTGATGCGGGGAAAACTTCGGGGAAATCCCGATCGTTGAAAGACGACAAACACTTCCTGGGGGAATACCCGTCGTCTCGTGACGTCAAGTCAGATCAGAGCTCAGTCAAGTCCGGTAAAGTCAAGTGCAAGCAGTCAAGCGGCGGCAAGTCGGGTCAGTCACTCGGCCGCAAGTCGGGGAAGAAATCGAGCTCGGGTGTGCCGGACAGCCACGCCCCCATGGAGGAGATCCGTGTGGAGATCAGCAGCAGCCCGTCCGACGCCTCCAGTGTGACGTCACCGGCCACTGACGTCACGTCGCCCGGCACGGAAGACCGTGCGGACACGGGCGCCCTGCCGGACATTCAAACCTCCTGCCACACGTCTTGTGTGGTCAGTTTCCCCGGGAAAATCGGACCGTTGGACTTGTCCAGCAAGAAAAAGAAATAGCGCCTCCCCCTTGTATTTATTGTTTAATTAGCGCTAATTAATTAGTCATGTGTAAGCCATAGCTTTAACTGAATCCTACCTAAACAAGTTCTGTTGTAGAGACATCGGGGTTTTAACTCGATATTTGGCCGTTGACCCGCGTTGGTGTAGTTGTGTCCATTCATTGCCTGATGCTGTTGTTCTACTCACCTTCAGTTGTAGACCTACCACAACATTGGGGAGAATGTTGGTGATATGGGTGGGGCGGGAACATGTTTTTTTTAATCACGTGATTGTTTTATTGACCTGATATTTACATGATGTTTTGTTTAACTGCTGATGATGTAGAGGTCGTTCATGTTGTTAGTGATAATTTCTCTGTGTTAAATCATAGCTACGGATATGGATATCGCGGCAAAATGTTCATCCAGTTTAAAAGGTGTCTTGCTTTGAAATTTAAGGTCGTGGTGTTCTTAAGGTAAAACTGCAACAACCTTCTGTGATTCTTACACACTACATCAGCTCTTACATACCTGGTCAGTTGTTGTACCACTGCAATGTGTGGTCAGTAGCTGACCATTATCACCACTGGTCAGTATATGACCATCATCACCAGTGGTCAGTATCTGACCATTATCATGACTGATGAGTGGCTGAACCACCACGTGATCTGGTCAGTAACTGACCACCGCGAATGGTCAGTGTACAAACACACATGCAACACCTCAGACCTATAATTTCACTTTTGGATCAAATATTCTGTTTTCAATTTGTAAACTGCTTTTATTTCAATTGTTTTATTAACAAACAGGAATAACTTTTCCTCTCCCGTTAATTTATGAGTTTGTTATGAACCTATGTAAAAAAAAAAAAACTCATTAATCTTATTGTATGACCTGTTTTATATACTTACTTTACAAACCTGTTTTTAAAAACTGTTATATAAACTTTTTGAACCTGTTTAAAAAATGGTTTTATAAACCTTTTGAACCTGTTTTAAAAAAACAACTGTTAAAAATGTATGGGCCTGTTTTCTAAAGTTGTTTTGTAACCCGTTATAGCTGACTGCTGGTAGACTTTTTACCCGAACATTTTTTTAACAATTGTGATGAGGTTGTTGTTTTAGTTTAACACCAAGTTTAACTGTACTGATAAAAAGTTTCAACTTAAACATTAAGTTTAACTGTACTGATAAAAAGTTTCAACTTGAACACCAAGTTTAACTGTACTGATAAAAAGTTTCAACTTAAACATTAAGTTTAACTGTACTGATAAAAAGTTTCAACTTAAACATTAAGTTTAACTGTACTGATAAAAAGTTTCAACTTAAACATTAAGTTTAACTGTACTGATAAAAAGTTTCAACTTAAACATTAAGTTTAACTGTACTGATAAAAAGTTTCAACTTAAACATTAAGTTTAACTGCTCATAATAGAACACTAAACTTCAGTGTTGTAATAGTTTTAAGTTGAACATACAGTTGAACTGTGTTTATAATTAATTATGAAAGTGTTTTCATTATTCACATTTAACACGAAGGTTTTGGACGAATGATTATTGAACAAGTTCGGTGATAGAATTGTTGATGTGTAGCTGACTTGGTTGGACATGACTTCGTCACCTATGACTTAACTGTTTGACTTGACTGACTACTGGACCAACGGACTGACCTTCAATTGAAATCCCATGCTGTGATGTCCTTGACCCACTTTTATGCCAGGACTCTGTTAGTGCCTTCATGTTGCCTTGTTACATTGGTTGTTTTTTTTTGTGGGTGTCAGTTTTAACAACCATCAACTTCAGCTGGTTAGGAGTGAGGGTGGGGTGTGAGTGGAGTGTTGATGATGTGTGTCGTACATACACGTGACATCACTGTGGGGCGCTCCCCATGCCATGAGCTGACCCCCCCCCCCCCCCCTCCCGCCCCCTAGTGACACCCTTACAGCTTTAAAACTAAAGTCGAGATCCCTGCAATTATTTGGAGCATCTTGTCAAGATATTTGACATAGAATACACTATGATACAAGTGGCCTGTTGACTCTACGGTCTTTTGTGAAGTTGATCTGTTTCTTTAGACATGGTCATTGTGGTCAATCTCAATTCTTACCGAATACCTCCCTTGCGCTTGACCATCATGTTATGTGGGATGTTGGCTAGCTTTCAGAAAGGGTTTGACCAGTTGTGTGACTAGTTTGACCATCTTTGACCTCAGTAGATGTCTCAACCAGTGATGTCACATTGTATGTGTGGTACATATCATTGGCACAGTCTGTGTAATGTATATGCGTAGAGTATGCATATATATGTAGATTGTAATGTATAGTGTGTGCAAGTGTGTTGTATGCAGATACATATAAAGTACTGTACATTGTATGTATGTAGTACACTTCTATGTAGATTGTTCTGTATAGTGTTTGTATGTGTATAGTACACATACGTAGATTGCATGTATTACATGTATTACATGTATTGCATGTATTATGTGCATGTATTACACATACATACATGGTACTATACAGTGTATGAATGCGTATAGTACACAGCTATGTAGATTGTACTGTAAAGTGCCACATAGCGATATCACCAATGTCGGCCAATTGACAGTTTCACCTGTGTATAAACTCTACTGTCTGCAATAACTTAATTTCACTAGCTTTTTTCTCAGTGCTGTAAAGAATATTAATTCTTCCCGTTGTGAATATATCTGTAACATGCCTTCATGTTGAAGCATTTGTAATTACTAGTTCGTTAATTAAACATACAGGTCTAATCCTGTAATTAATGTGTTGAGACAGCCATATTGGAGAACATTTGCTAGCTGGAATACTCAGTGATTCGACCAATGGTCATCGACTGTTGGTATCAGGTGATAGCTGTCTGATTTCTTGTTGTGAGTCTGTCTTCGCTAGACGGACCTTTGCGACAGACTTACGCTCTGTCTGTGATGATTCTCGTTAGTCTTTCCCCTCGGCATTATGTTAGCGTGTGTGTAGACATAATGAATGTGCCTCATAATGATCATCATACCCACCCTGTTGTACATGCTCTGTGAGCGCTGTGTCAGCATTTTAAGGTTAGTTCTAGTGGTTAACTAAACCAAGCTCTGTGCCAGCATTTTAAGGTTAGTTCTAGTGGTTAACTAAACCAAGCTGTGTGTCAGCATTTTAAGGTTAGTTCTAGTGGTTAACTAAACCAAGCGCTGGGCCAGCATTTTAAGGTTAGTTCTAGTGGTTAACTAAACCAAGCGCTGTGTCAGCATTTTAAGGTTAGTTCTAGTGGTTAACTAAACCAAGCTCTGTGCCAGCATTTTAACCCTTTGAGCCCGCTAGGCCGGTAAACCGGCTTCAACATTAGGCATATATGTCCGAAAAGCCGGTTTTCCGGCCCGATGATCTAGCGTCATATTCCTTGCGGCCGGTATACCGTCTAATTAAATATAATTAGCGGAAGACTGACTAAAACTGTGCATGTGTCTTTTGAGTGCGGGATTATGATTTTAAAAATTGATTTTTAGGAAAAAGTGAAAGTGAAAGTGTTTACATTTCGTAGCAATGCCGCCGAAACGAAAAGCTGAGCCACAGCCGTCGACTTCATCACATAAAGTTGGTGCAAAAGATGAAGCAAAAGACCGAAATATCAACAAAAGAAGTAGAATGACTGCATCTAAGGCAATACAACTACTTATTGATTCTGATGAAGAAGATAATAATCCTGGTCTATATTGTGATGATAGTGACGTTGAATTTGAGACTGAACACAGTGACATTGAAATTGACAGTGACAATGAAACTGTTCAAGTACGTTCTGATGCACGTGGTGTCAAGGACAAAGACTTGCGGAAACGAAAAAAAAATGTTTACTGGTGCAAAACATGCTAAGTTTTTCTTTGCATCGGGTCCGGCAGTGATAACTGTTTTGAAAGTTATCACACAAAAGTGGACTTCTGGCGATGAACTAGTATGGCCAGGTGTCAATAATAACAAAACAATTACTAAATGTAAATTGGTTTCTTCTATGTTCTATCAAAACAATAATTATGTGTTCGTTTTATATACATTGTTCTGTTCAAACTTTGTAAAAAAAAAAAAGAATTTCAGAATCTTGCTGCATTGTTGTTTGATCCAGAGTCTGGATACCAAAAGTGGCTTGATTATCTCAAACGGTTCAAAGTTATAGGCAAAGTTAGAAGCAGATAAGTGAAAATTGGTTTGGCCCTGGGAGCTCAGGAAATGGGAGAAATTAGGTCAGGGAGGCGCGGGCTCAAAGGGTTAAGGTTAGTTCTAGTGGTTAACTAAACCAAGCTGTGTGTCAGCATTTTAAGGTTAGTTCTAGTGGTTAACTAAACCAAGCGCTGTGTCAGCATTTTAAGGTTAGTTCTAGTGGTTAACTAAACCAAGCGCTGTGTCAGCATTTTAAGGTTAGTTCTAGTGGTTAACTAAACCAAGCTCTGTGCCAGCATTTTAAGGTTAGTTCTAGTGGTTAACTAAACCAAGCGCTGTGTCAGCATTTTAAGGTTAGTTCTAGTGGTTAACTAAACCAAGCGCTGTGTCAGCATTTTAAGGTTAGTTCTAGTGGTTAACTAAACCAAGCGCTGTGTCAGCATTTTAAGGTTAGTTCTAGTGGTTAACTAAACCAAGCGCTGTGTCAGCATTTTAAGGTTAGTTCTAGTGGTTAACTAAACCAAGCTCTGTGCCAGCATTTTAAGGTTAGTTCTAGTGGTTAACTAAACCAAGCTGTGTGCCAGCATTTTAAGGTTAGTTCTAGTGGTTAACTAAACCAAGCTCTGTGCCAGCATTTTAAGGTTAGTTCTAGTGGTTAACTAAACCAAGCTCTGTGCCAGCATTTTAAGGTTAGTTCTAGTGGTTAACTAAACCAAGCTCTGTGCCAGCATTTTAAGGTTAGTTCTAGTGGTTAACTAAACCAAGCTCTGTGCCAGCATTTTAAGGTTAGTTCTAGTGGTTAACTAAACCAAGCGCTGTGTCAGCATTTTAAGGTTAGTTCTAGTGGTTAACTAAACCAAGCTCTGTGCCAGCATTTTAAGGTTAGTTCTAGTGGTTAACTAAACCAAGCTCTGTGCCAGCATTTTAAGGTTAGTTCTAGTGGTTAACTAAACCAAGCTCTGTGCCAGCATTTTAAGGTTAGTTCTAGTGGTTAACTAAACCAAGCGCTGTGTCAGCATTTTAAGGTTAGTTCTAGTGGTTAACTAAACCAAGCGCTGTGTCAGCATTTTAAGGTTAGTTCTAGTGGTTAACTAAACCAAGCGCTGTGTCAGCATTTTAAGGTTAGTTCTAGTGGTTAACTAAACCAAGCGCTGTGTCAGCATTTTAAGGTTAGTTCTAGTGGTTAACTAAACCAAGCTGTGAGTCTACAATGTGTTGTGTTTTTTTGCCAGATGGCCTGTTTTTTTTTTCCTTTCCATTTTAAAACGGTACATATTTTATCTTTTTACGCGTAACTTAAATTCCCTCGTGTGATAATATTTGTACTTAAATCTGGTTTTATTCGACACGGATGAAAGTTTTATTAGTTAAAGTTTGTTTCCTTGGAAACTGATCCAGTTGTACAAGTAAAACTATGGTTTTATTTGGCTAGGATGAAACTTGTGTATTATTTAACGAGCTGTTGTTAGGTTGCTGTGAGAATCGCCACGCTAGGCTGCTGTCTTGTGTGGAATTTACTAATACAAACATTGGTCGGTTCATGATTAAACAATGAATGTTGCTCGGACTTTGTCTTTTTTTTTGTGTTGGTTGGCGCTAGCTTTGGACTTCAAAGCCTGGATGCTGGTGTGTTTTGTGGGGGGGGGGGGGGGGGGGAGAGAGATCACATGTGATGTGTGGGAGGGGATTACCATTAGAATAAGTCGTTCGCCTTCCCGTTTATCAATGTCTAGAACAGGGGTCTCCAAACTACGGCCCGCGGGCCGAATGCGGCCCGCGATGTCCTCTCATCCGACCCGCGGAGATCTTTTTTGTTCACGGAAAAAACGTTTGTTGGTGATGGCTGAGGAACTTTGCCCAGAAAATTCAAAGACATGCCAGGAACTAACTGGCCCCCCGAACTGAAATTTGATAGTTGATGCGGCCCTCGGACTGAAAAGTTTGGAGACCCCTGGTCTAGGAGAAACTATGAACTCTAAAAGTAGTTTTTCATCTTTATTTCACAAGCATACACCGACTGGGGGATCAATAGCAGACTTTAATTGATCTTGAGGCAATCAATAAAAAGTTGTTTAATTAAACTACCAATTTCATCAAACTACACATAAAACTCCGTATTGAAGGTGTAAAATAGAATTATAGCCTCGCTCTATAAGTAGATACGTCTCAATCTGTTTAAGGCCAACAATTGTGTCTACACAATATAATCAAACTGGCCAATGTCAAAAATTTAAGGTTAACAATCGTGTCTATACAATAGACAAACTGTGGCCAATGTAGACTATTAAAGGCCAACAATTTTGTCTATACAATAGTCAAACTATGGCCAATGTGAAATAACAAAGGTCAACAATTTTGTCTATACAATAGTCAAACTGGCCAATGTCAAACATTAAAGGCCAACAATTTAGTCAACACAAGAGTCAAACTATGGCCAATGTCAAACATTAACGGCCAACAATCGTGTCTATACAATAAAGTCAAACTTGCACTTGTGGCCAATGTCGAAGAAGTGGGCCACTCTATCGCCTGGCTCTGCGGCCGCCGCCTGCTCCAGGATGTTACCTCGGCCAATAATTGCAGGGTCGTCTTTGACAGGTACCAGGAGTTCTTCTCTGATAGGTGCAAACACAGGTAGCATTTCAAACACAGGTAGCTTTTCATTTCAAACACAGGTAGCATTTCAAACACAGGTAGCATTTCATTTCAAACACAGGTAGCATTTCATCTCAAACACAGGTAGCATTTCATTTCAAACACAGGTAGCATTTCAAACACAGGTAGTATTTCATTTCAAATACAGGTAGCATTTCAAACACAGGTAGCATTTCAAACACAGGTAGTATTTCATTTCAAATACAGGTAGCATTTCAAACACAGGTACCATTTCATTTCAAATACAGGTAGCATTTCAAACACAGGTAGCATTTCATTTCAAACACAGGTAGCATTTCATTTCAAACACAGGTAGCATTTCATTTCAAACACAGGTAGCATTTCAAACACAGGTAGCATTTCAAACACAGGTAGCTCGACGATTGAGAGTTGATCTTGGTTTCTCTCTGGACTGTAATGCCTTCAAGTGTTGGCCAACAGGATGATTGCTGCCAAAAAGGGGAAGCACGGGGTTGAGGCGGTTTCCTGACACTGGTGGTTTCTTATGCACCAACATATATGTGTCAGCCGACTCAGCAGCCTTCTGGATGTCAATTATCTTGTTATCCAGTATGTGTAGTCGTATGTCTTCAGGCAGGGACTTTAGGAATTCTTCCCTTACGATAAGTGATCTGAGCCTCTCAAACTCAGAAACTTCCTCAGAGTGTAGCCACCTTGAGAAAATTTTCTCTTTTTCAAAGAGAAATTCCACATATGATTGAGTGGGTAACTTGCGGAGTGCTCGGAATTTTATCCGATAGGCCTCGGGCGTCAGTTCGTAGGCCTTCAAAATGGCAGTCTTGACCAAACTATAGTTATTTTGAACGTCGTGAGAGAGTGCCTGGTATGTTTTTGCAGCTTTCCCTGTAAGGACCGTGCTCAATAAAGCAGTAATGGAAGTTTCGGGCCATTCACATGTCTTCGCTAAACTCTCAAATGAGTTAAAGAAAACGACCAAATCTGTTTCATCAAATTTAGGAACTAATTTCCCAAATTTGGCAATCACTTGCCCCACCGACAACTTTTTTGGATCTACCAGAGAAGTGACATCTCCACTAACTTTACCAAATTCTAATTCCAACCTCCTCTTATCTTAGGCAATTTTAGCCTCTAACTCCTGTTCTTTTAAAGCCTTCTCTAAAGCAACTTTCTCCTTCTCTAAAGTAACTTTCTCCTTCTCTAAAGCAATTCTAGCTTCTAATTCTACCTTCTCTAGAGGTTTCTCCTCACGGAATATCACCCCAGCCAACAAACTTTCATCAAATACACCTTCATTAATAAAATGAACAACAATTTTATCTCTCAACACCTCTGATTTCTGAGTAACAGAATAATCCAATTTCAATTCCTTAACAACACTAATCAAAACTTTCCTACTCAACTTCTCTACCTCCTCAACGGTGGGATTAGATAAGAAAGACTCCATTTCACTAACTTCAAAATCAAAACAAGCCTAGATTCTCTAAATTAACACGGCCCAACGCTGCGTTATGAACTTGACCTTCAATCTAGGACGTGACACGTCTGGCTTTTTGACCTAGATAACTCTAGCCTTGCGCGCGTTTTAATAACACGGCTCCACTGGATAGATAAACAACTAAATCAAACTAAACTTAGTGTTTAACTGATACAACCAACAACTGGAACGACAGATTAAATGCCGGCGAGTCCCCACTTTGTAACGGACACCTATCTACCAGCCAGATAGATGGTGAACGCCCCCCGGATTCTTTCTTGGGGTTATATGCAAATGGCCTAAAGCCTAACTGAATGAAAACTAACTCAACAACTCACTAGGGCTCGATTTCGAGGTCTAGGGAAAACTAGTGAAACTATTGAAGTTAACAACTCATTCAATCTGCATACAACCTTTAATAAGTGAACACAGTTGTGGCAGAACACAAGGTTAAACAAGATAAAATATTTAGTTTAGAAAATAACAAAACCCAACTTACAAAGCGTAAGAAAAAATACTATCACAGATTCTAACACTTTATAAAAATAGCCACAGGTCACATAACACTGCTATAGCATCAAGAATCACTTGGCCACAAGTAATATAATACTAGAATACTTAAACAACTTAAGAATGCATAGCACACTCAGGACTTAAGCTCTCTCACGTTCAAATGGTCAGAATGGACTGCCGGTCAAAATGGACGGCCTGGTCAAAATGGACTGCCTCGTGCCGCCTGAGGGCGATCTAGTTATAGACTTAGGCAACAGGGGAGGTTACCTTCAACTCATGTGGCCATTGGTTGGGGTGGTCATCTGGTCTGAATCAATCAATCAGATCTTGATGGAAAATTACTGAGTCTTAGACTCTCTTAGTAGGACAGCGGAAAAAACCCGGTTGTTGCACCATCAACCATATATGGTATTATAACAATGTCAAACTAAAATAAAACATTACTAGACCTAAGTAGGTCACACACAGGTAGCATTTCAAACACAGGTAGCATTTCAAACACAGGTAGCATTTTAAACACAGGTAGCATTTCAAACACAGGTAGCATTTCAAATACAGGTAGCATTTCAAATACAGGTAGCTTTTCAAACACAGGTAGCTTTTCAAACATTGGTGTAGGTCAATGTCTTCCGTATTAAAGACAAGAAATATAACAGCACAAGATACATAACAATATAACAGCACAAGATACATAACAATATACGGCACAAGATACATAACAATATACGGCACAAGATACATCACAATATACGGCACCGGGGTATAATTGGCGTGCTACTACAGTTTGGTGTGTAGACAGACGCTCAGTTTAGATACAACATACAAGAAATATTACAAACATACGACACATAGGTTATAGAGGTGTGGTGACAATAAACAGCTATTGTAATAATAGATATAACAGTAGAGTTTGTTCCTCAATGCCAGTGTACCTGTGACAGTATATATGTGGCAGTGTACCTGTGACAGTGTACCTGTGACAGTGTACATGTGACAGTGTACCTGTGACAGTGTACCTGTGACAGTATATATGTGGCAGTGTACCTGTGACAGTGTACCTGTGACAGCGCACCTGTGACAGTGTACCTGTGACAGTGTACATGTGACAGTGTACCTGTGACAGTGTACCTGTGACAGTATATATGTGGCAGTGTACCTGTGACAGTATATATGTAGCATTGTACCTGTGACAGTATATATGTGGCAGTGTACCTGTGACAGTGTACCTGTGACAGCGCACCTGTGACAGTGTACCTGTGACAGTGTACCTGTGACAGCGCACATGTGACAGTGTACCTGTGACAGTGTACCTGTGACAGTGTACCTGTGACAGTGTACCTGTGACAGTGTACCTGTGACAGTGTACCTGTGACAGTGTACCTGTGACAGTGTACCTGTGACAGTATATATGTGGCAGTGTACCTGTGACAGTGTACCTGTGACAGCGCACCTGTGACAGTGTACCTGTGACAGTGTACCTGTGACAGTGTACCTGTGACAGTGTACCTGTGAATCAGTAGCTGTCAGTGACAGTGAACCTGTGACAGTGTACATGTGACAGTGTACCTGTGACAGTGTACCTGTGACAGTGTACCTGTGACAGTGTACCTGTGAATCAGTACTGTCAGTGACAGAGTACCTGTGACAGTGTATCTGTGACAAATACTTGTGACAATATACCAGTTGCAGTATACCTGTGACAGTATATATGCGGCAGTGTACCTGTGAAAGTATACCTGTGGCCAATGTCCCATCTAATTTGCGCATGCGCGCAGTAGTTTTGAACGAGACCCGCAGTCACTTTGTAAAATACAAATAAGACTAAGAGCACCACGCACAAGATACACATTGCTCACCACCTTTTAGAGGGAACGTTGCTTGTGGCAGCGTACTTCTGATAAAGGGGTCTACGACAAATTCTCGAAAGACACTTACCGGAATGCCGTTTGCCCGAAGGCCGTCTTCCCGAATGGACACTTGCCTGAATTCGGGTAAGCAGTAGCGTAGCAAGGGGGGGGGGGGGGGGGGGCGTGGGGATATATGTCCCCTGGCGCCGACCTTAGGGGGGGGCCAAAATGGGAAGGTTCGCTACGCCTCTGCGGGTAAGTGTCCCTTCGGGAAAACGTCCGGCTCCCGTGATAAAGCATCTCGTGGTGGTAAAACCACTTGCGTGTACGACAGTCCTACCTCTGTGTGAACCACTTCTTGCTTGATGATAAAACCACTTGCGTGTACGACTGTCCTACCTCTGTGTGAACCACTTCTTGCTTGATGATAAAACCACTTGCGTGTACCTACCTCTGTGTGAACCACTTCTTGCTTGATGATAAAACCACCTGCGTGTACCCACCTCTGTGTAAACCACTTCTTGCTTGATGATAAAACCACTAGCGTGTACGACTTACTACCTCTGTTTAAACCAGTTCTTGCTTGATGATAAAACCACCTGCGTGTACCCACCTCTGTGTGAACCACTTCTTGCTTGATGATAAAACCACTTGCGTGTACGACTGTCCTACCTCTGTGTGAACCACTTCTTGCTTGATGATAAAACCACCTGCGTGTACCTACCTCTGTGTGAACCACTTCTTGCTTGATGATAAAACCACCTGCGTGTACCTACCTCTGTGTGAACCACTTGATGATAAAACCACCTGCGTGTACCCACCTCTGTGTGAACCACTTCTTGAACCACCGACACGTGACCAGGTGGGGGAGGCTAACCAGGCTGGAACCGCTGTCGGACATGACGTCAGACTCCACGCGCACCTCTGTGTGTGAGTACTTCGCGTACCGGAAGTTTGAGGGCAAGGTTGTCTGCAAAGCAACAAAATGTCTGATTAGCTGTTGTTGAGTACTTCGTGTACGCTCACATAGTTATAATCTAATTGATTTTTTTCAGACATTTTTTTTTCGTTTGCTAATTTACTCAGCTACTTAGTTAATGGAGTTAAAAGTTGGCTGCGCTGCAAGCAGTGTTTCTTCCTAACTTTTTTTTCTCCGGGGGGATACAAGTAGGTTGATAAAAGTAAATTGATACAATTAAGTTGATACACGCAGGTTGATACAAGTAGGTTGATTGATACAAGTAGGTTGATACAATTAAGTTGATACACGTAGGTTGATACGAGTAGGTTGTTACAAGTAGGTTGATTGATACAAGTAGGTTGATATATGTATGTTGATACATTATGTAGGGTGATACAAGTAGGTCGATACAAGCAGGTTGAGCTACAAATATATAGATCTACCACTAAGTTGAACTACAAGTAGCTACCAGTATGGGGGCAGTGGCTGTGTTCCTGACGAAAATCTTCTCATGCTGAATTTGATCGTTGTTCATACAGTACAAGTAGACCTCTCTCAGCAACAGACCCGCCACAAACAGAAAGATTGGGATGAAAATATAGGAGAATATAGCCTGCAAATGTTGGTGATTGGGATGAAAATATAGGAGAATATAGCCTGCAAATGTTGGGGATTGGGATGAAAATGTAGGAGAATATAGCCTGCAAATGGTGGTGATTGGGATGAAAATATAGGAGAATATAGCCTGCAAATGTTGGTGATTGGGATGAAAATATAGGAGAATATAGCCTGCAAATGTTGGTGATTGGGATGAAAATATAGGAAAATATAGCCTGCAAATGGTGGTGATTGGGATTAAAATATAGGAGAATATAGCCTGCAAAAGTTGGTGATTGGGATGAAAATATAGGAGAATATAGCCTACAAGTGGTGGTACAAATCATCGGGTATTTTATCATTGCTGAGATAATATTGCATGGAATAGAAGATAGGAATTGATGGGATTTATTAAAGCCTAAGGAATACAATAAAATCATTAACGCTGAATGAAATACAGGGACGCTGCACATAAATAAATAAACATCAACTAAATAATGCATACACACACACACACACCAAAAGAAAAAATAGACACTAATTGAGACGCAAACACATGGAGACATACACACACGGAGACACAGGCACAAGTAGAGACAAAGGCACAAACAGACAAATAGAGACAGAGACACAAACGGAGACATGGACTCAAGGGAGACACCGACGTAGAGACAGACACAGAGACAAATAGAGACAGGGACACTAATGGAGACAGAAACAGACACAGACAAATATAGACAGAGACCGACACAGAGACAAAGAGAGACAAGACACTAATGAAGACAGAGACACGGAGACAAATAAAGACAGAGACACTAATAAATACATCGACGTAGAGACAGATTTTTGACACTCTACGAACCAGTGTGGCTGCTGTTTCTTCACCAGCGGGTAAAAACATCACTCGGCTGTTGTTTACCCTGCAGACATTATCCATGTTTTAGTGGTGGACATTGTCCGTGTTTTAGTGGTGGACATTGTGTTTTAGTGGTGGACATTGTCCATGTTTTAGTGGTGGACATTGTCCATGTTTTAGTGGTGGACATTGTCCGTGTTTTAGTGGTGGACATTGTCCATGTTTTAGTGGTGGACATTGTCCATGTTTTAGTGGTGGACATTGTCCATGTTTTAGTGGTGGACATTGTCCATGTTTTAGTGGTGGACATTGTCCGTGTTTTAGTGGTGGACATTGTCCATGTTTTAGTGATGGACATTGTCCATGTTTTAGTGGTGGACATTGTCCATGTTTTAGTGGTGGACATTGTCCATGTTTTAGTGGTGGAGATTGTCCATGTTTTAGTGGACATTGTCCATGTTTTAGTGGTGGACATTGTCCATGTTTTAGTGGTGGACATTGTCCATGTTTTAGTGGTGGACATTGTCCATGTTTTAGTGGTGGACATTGTGTTTTAGTGGTGGACATTGTCTATGTTTTAGTGATGGACATTGTCCATGTTTTAGTGGTGGACATTGTCCATGTTTTAGTGGTGGACATTGTCCATGTTTTAGTGGTGGACATTGTCCGTGTTTTAGTGGTGGACATTGTCCATGTTTTAGTGGTGGACATTGTCTGTGTTTTAGTGGTGGACATTGTCCGTGTTTTAGTGGTGGACATTGTCCATGTTTTAGTGGTGGACATTGTCCATGTTTTCGTGGTGGACATTGTCCATGTTTTAGTGGTGGACATTGTCCGTGTTTTAGTGGTGGACATTGTCCATGTTTTAGTGGTGGACATTGTCCATGTTTTAGTGGTGGACATTGTCTATGTTTTAGTGGTGGACATTGTCCATGTTTTAGTGGTGGACATTGTCCATGTTTTAGTGGTGGACATTGTGTTTTAGTGGTGGACATTGTCCGTGTTTTAGTGGTGGACATTGTCCATGTTTTAGTGGTGGACATTGTGTTTTAGTGGTGGACATTGTCCATGTTTTAGTGGTGGACATTGTGTTTTAGTGGTGGACATTGTCCATGTTTTAGTGGTGGACATTGTCCATGTTTTAGTGGTGGACATTGTGTTTTAGTGGTGGACATTGTCCGTGTTTTAGTGGTGGACATTGTCCATGTTTTAGTGGTGGACATTGTGTTTTAGTGGTGGACATTGTCCATGTTTTAGTGGTGGACATTGTCCATGTTTTAGTGATGGACATTGTCCATGTTTTAGTGGTGGACATTGTGTTTTAGTGGTGGACATTGTCCATGTTTTAGTGGTGGACATTGTCCATGTTTTAGTGGTGGACATTGTCCATGTTTTAGTGGTGGACATTGTCCATGTTTTAGTGGTGGACATTGTCCATGTTTTAGTGGTGGACATTGTCCATGTTTTAGTGGTGGACATTGTGTTTTAGTGGTGGACATTGTCTATGTTTTAGTGATGGACATTGTCCATGTTTTAGTGGTGGACATTGTCCATGTTTTAGTGGTGGACATTGTCCGTGTTTTAGTGGTGGACATTGTCCATGTTTTAGTGGTGGACATTGTCTGTGTTTTAGTGGTGGACATTGTCCATGTTTTAGTGGTGGACATTGTCCATGTTTTAGTGGTGGACATTGTCCATGTTTTAGTGATGGACATTTTCCGTGTTTTAGTGGTGGACATTGTCCGTGTTTTAGTGGTGGACATTGTCCATGTTTTAGTGGTGGACATTGTCCATGTTTTAGTGGTGGACATTGTCCATGTTTTAGTGGTGGACATTGTCTATGTTTTAGTGGTGGACATTGTCCATGTTTTAGTGGTGGACATTGTCCATGTTTTAGTGGTGGACATTGTCCATGTTTTAGTGGTGGACATTGTGTTTTAGTGGTGGACATTGTCCGTGTTTTAGTGGTGGACATTGTCCATGTTTTAGTGGTGGACATTGTCCATGTTTTAGTGGTAGACATTGTGCTTGTTTTAGTGGTGGACATTGTCTGTGTTTTAGTGGTGGACATTGTCCATGTTTTAGTGGTGGACATTGTCCATGTTTTAGTGGTGGACATTGTGTTTTAGTGGTGGACATTGTCCATGTTTTAGTGGTGGACATTGTCCATGTTTTAGTGATGGACATTGTCCATGTTTTAGTGGTGGACATTGTGTTTTAGTGGTGGACATTGTCCATGTTTTAGTGGTGGACATTGTCCATGTTTTAGTGGTGGACATTGTCCATGTTTTAGTGGTGGACATTGTCCATGTTTTAGTGGTGGACATTGTCCATGTTTTAGTGGTGGACATTGTCCATGTTTTAGTGGTGGACATTGTGTTTTAGTGGTGGACATTGTCTATGTTTTAGTGATGGACATTGTCCATGTTTTAGTGGTGGACATTGTCCATGTTTTAGTGGTGGACATTGTCCGTGTTTTAGTGGTGGACATTGTCCATGTTTTAGTGGTGGACATTGTCTGTGTTTTAGTGGTGGACATTGTCCATGTTTTAGTGGTGGACATTGTCCATGTTTTAGTGGTGGACATTGTCCATGTTTTAGTGATGGACATTGTCCGTGTTTTAGTGGTGGACATTGTCCGTGTTTTAGTGGTGGACATTGTCCATGTTTTAGTGGTGGACATTGTCCATGTTTTAGTGGTGGACATTGTCCATGTTTTAGTGGTGGACATTGTCTATGTTTTAGTGGTGGACATTGTCCATGTTTTAGTGGTGGACATTGTCCATGTTTTAGTGGTGGACATTGTCCATGTTTTAGTGGTGGACATTGTCCATGTTTTAGTGGTGGACATTGTCCGTGTTTTAGTGGTGGACATTGTCCATGTTTTAGTGGTGGACATTGTCTGTGTTTTAGTGGTGGACATTGTCCGTGTTTTAGTGGTGGACATTGTCCATGTTTTAGTGGTGGACATTGTCCATGTTTTAGTGGTGGACATTGTCCATGTTTTAGTGGTGGACATTGTCCGTGTTTTAGTGGTGGACATTGTCCATGTTTTAGTGGTGGACATTGTCCATGTTTTAGTGGTGGACATTGTCTATGTTTTAGTGGTGGACATTGTCCATGTTTTAGTGGTGGACATTGTCCATGTTTTAGTGGTGGACATTGTGTTTTAGTGGTGGACATTGTCCGTGTTTTAGTGGTGGACATTGTCCATGTTTTAGTGGTGGACATTGTGTTTTAGTGGTGGACATTGTCCATGTTTTAGTGGTGGACATTGTGTTTTAGTGGTGGACATTGTCCATGTTTTAGTGGTGGACATTGTCCATGTTTTAGTGGTGGACATTGTGTTTTAGTGGTGGACATTGTCCGTGTTTTAGTGGTGGACATTGTCCATGTTTTAGTGGTGGACATTGTGTTTTAGTGGTGGACATTGTCCATGTTTTAGTGGTGGACATTGTCCATGTTTTAGTGATGGACATTGTCCATGTTTTAGTGGTGGACATTGTGTTTTAGTGGTGGACATTGTCCATGTTTTAGTGGTGGACATTGTCCATGTTTTAGTGGTGGACATTGTCCATGTTTTAGTGGTGGACATTGTCCATGTTTTAGTGGTGGACATTGTCCATGTTTTAGTGGTGGACATTGTCCATGTTTTAGTGGTGGACATTGTGTTTTAGTGGTGGACATTGTCTATGTTTTAGTGATGGACATTGTCCATGTTTTAGTGGTGGACATTGTCCATGTTTTAGTGGTGGACATTGTCCGTGTTTTAGTGGTGGACATTGTCCATGTTTTAGTTGTGGACATTGTCTGTGTTTTAGTGGTGGACATTGTCCATGTTTTAGTGGTGGACATTGTCCATGTTTTAGTGGTGGACATTGTCCATGTTTTAGTGATGGACATTGTCCGTGTTTTAGTGGTGGACATTGTCCGTGTTTTAGTGGTGGACATTGTCCATGTTTTAGTGGTGGACATTGTCCGTGTTTTAGTGGTGGACATTGTCCGTGTTTTAGTGGTGGACATTGTCCATGTTTTAGTGGTGGACATTGTCCATGTTTTAGTGGTGGACATTGTCCATGTTTTAGTGGTGGACATTGTCCGTGTTTTAGTGGTGGACATTGTCCATGTTTTAGTGGTGGACATTGTCTGTGTTTTAGTGGTGGACATTGTGTTTTAGTGGTGGACATTGTCCGTGTTTTAGTGGTGGACATTGTCCATGTTTTAGTGGTGGACATTGTGTTTTAGTGGTGGACATTGTCCGTGTTTTAGTGGTGGACATTGTCCATGTTTTAGTGGTGGACATTGTCCATGTTTTAGTGGTAGACATTGTCCTTGTTTTAGTGGTGGACATTGTCTGTGTTTTAGTGGTGGACATTGTCCATGTTTTAGTGGTGGACATTGTCCATGTTTTAGTGGTGGACATTGTGTTTTAGTGGTGGACATTGTCCATGTTTTAGTGGTGGACATTGTCCATGTTTTAGTGATGGACATTGTCCATGTTTTAGTGGTGGACATTGTGTTTTAGTGGTGGACATTGTCCATGTTTTAGTGGTGGACATTGTCCATGTTTTAGTGGTGGACATTGTCCATGTTTTAGTGGTGGACATTGTCCATGTTTTAGTGGTGGACATTGTCCATGTTTTAGTGGTGGACATTGTCCATGTTTTAGTGGTGGACATTGTGTTTAAGTGGTGGACATTGTCTATGTTTTAGTGATGGACATTGTCCATGTTTTAGTGGTGGACATTGTCCATGTTTTAGTGGTGGACATTGTCCGTGTTTTAGTGGTGGACATTGTCCATGTTTTAGTGGTGGACATTGTCTGTGTTTTAGTGGTGGACATTGTCCATGTTTTAGTGGTGGACATTGTCCATGTTTTAGTGGTGGACATTGTCCATGTTTTAGTGATGGACATTGTCCGTGTTTTAGTGGTGGACATTGTCCGTGTTTTAGTGGTGGACATTGTCCATGTTTTAGTGGTGGACATTGTCCATGTTTTAGTGGTGGACATTGTCCATGTTTTAGTGGTGGACATTGTCTATGTTTTAGTGGTGGACATTGTCC